TGCCCCCATGAGACGCTAATGCTGCAGCTGATCTCACCAGAGGTGGAGCTCCGGCAGGGATGCCGGTTATGAGGAGCGGCTGTAAATACAGATGAACCCTGCAACCTCCTCCTGCCGTGCGGCCACAGACCAAACCACTGCAGAGCCACAGCCTAGGGGTTAGGGAACATAGACTTAAAGCATCAATTCAAGTTGTATCTCTAAAATCTTTGACAGTCTAAAAAAGGTAAGTTATATTGATATTAAGTATAAAAATGAGTTTATGATGCTGAACTATAATCTGATGTTAGATTCACATGATGTATAAATGGATACTTTGTAAATAAGATTCAAGTAAAAAAATGAGAAAATTCTGACTTCAGAGCACTGCTGTGAAAGAATGGAGTTTACCTGACCATAAATCAATCAGCTGTAACCCCAAATGTAATATAATAGTTTTAAATTTTAGACGGCATTAGTAGATTTTTGCATTCACAGTAAAGGTACACTCTGTCTTTTGAACTGCTCATCATATGGACAACATTCTAACTCCAAATATTTACATTTGACTGATTCATAATTAAACCAGAAGGTAATACAGTCAAGCTGATGATAAGTCAAACAATCCTGAACATGAGAGATTTTTAAGGGACCGTAGATGTTTTTCCTGGAGCACTGAGATTTAGTCTTTGAAAGATTTGTTGTTAGTTACTTTAAGAATGTCAAAAGATTCTTTCAATGGTTGTATTTGTCCTATGCTCAATGCAAATAAAGCACTAGGATTAATACATTGAAGTTAGAGAGATATTTCAACCTACTATAAAGATATCAAACTGTGCAAATGCCTACCTGCTCTATTGTGTTGCAGCTTGCCATGGATAAGCTCAAAGTTTCATGTCATAAATACTATTATTAGAGAGGGAAGCTGATGCCAGCGGATCTCTGAATTATCTTCTTTGTCTCAGAGTCTGTCTTTATATGGGTAAAATTAAATAAAAACAGGGTTTCACAAGGATCAGAGCTAGAAAAGACTATTCTTATGTAACTTTTCTGTAGGCACTCTAGATGTATAAAAGGATGAATAATTGAAATTATATATACTGAAGAAAGAATCAGCTTCCACCCCCTGAGCCCCACACACAAACACACACACATGTGACCCTTGGGAAATGAATCTGGAACTTTGTCCTCTGTCCCTTAAAGCTATCAGGTCAGTGTAGAGGTCAGTAACGTCAGTGGTATACTGGGCACCGTTAACAGGGTGGGTGGATGAGACTTGAGAATGTTGCATTCACTTTTGTATTTCCGTGATGTCTGGAATCCCAGATGTGATCATAGTCTCCACATATCAGAGGAGAGAGAATGAAATCTGTAAGGGGGCAATCAGAAGGCCAGAGGGAGGAGGTGGTACTCACTTGAGATCTCCCTAAAATACTGACTCTTCAGGTTTGAAGTGCTGAGGCTGGGTAGAAATACTGAGAACCACTAGCTTTCTGGATGACGTGAACTTAAATTCCAAAAGGTTAGAACAATGGGAATCTCTTTAAAACGTTAAATGAGCTCAATTTAGGACAATTTAAAAAAAAGTGCATCTTTCGGAAGCAGATAATTCTCTAAAGAAATAGTATGTACAAGAAATTCCCACCGGATTCTTTGATATTTAGGGTCCTATTTCATGACTACTGAAAGAAGCTGAGAGTCCTCGCCTTGTCCTAGAGGAAATCTCACCTCCCTCCACGGTTCTCAGCAGCCTCCTGTTATGACATCTGCACTGGCCTGAAAAGCTGCTGGTCTCCAACACAGAATGACAAGTCCTATCTCACAAACAATGTAAACAGTGTTTCTGGAAGCAACATTGAATGTTATTCTACCCGCTATTCTCTCTGTGTTGATGCAGCATTTGAATCCTCACCAGACTCTGATTTGAATTTTACCTAACCGCACAGGAGAGTGAACATGTGGAAACAAAAATTCAAGATCTCAGCTTCATTGAGGGAGCCGTATTTTTCTCTCTTGTCTTCTCGTGGGTTGTAATTACGGAAGCCTTTGCAAAGTACCTTGAGTGCCTTTTTCTTCAGGCCCCATATGTTAGGAACAGCCTGAGAGACCCGTAAGCATTATCATGTTTGAATACATCAGCCAACTTGTCATGGGCTAATTAGCCTCCTCCCAAAATGGAAACTCATGCATTCTTTTTTTCTAAAAATTTCTAAATCAAACCGTGCCTCTCTCATATAAAAGTTTTGCCTTTAGAGGGAGATTTCGTCTTCTCCATTCGCATTTTCAGACTTGCATTGGAGTCGAGGTGCTTCTGTCCCTACACTGCGCATGTGAAGGCACTTCCCTAGAATCTCACAAACTTTATAACGTTAACTAAAATATGGTGTCGGCCTTCCTTTGCCAGGTAAAATATTAAAACAGCGTTCTTAAGCAGGGTCTTCCTAATGCTGGGGACAAGAAACACGACATGCGCCATCTGTTTACATTCTTAAGAGGGTCTTTTAATGCTGGTGACTAGGAGCTACACAAGCCATTTGTTTACAGGGCAAGCACAGAACGCCATCCTGGAGTTAGCAGGGGTGCCATGTCATCACCAAGAGACCTCCAAAAATAAAAGTGTATTTTCAACCCTTTTAGACACCTATTGGGTGATTCCAACATAGAACTTTGCTTTTTTTTTTTCCCTAGGAGCACTTTTGTTTTATAAATTGACCTGTTTTATAAAACTTCACTTACTTTCTTAAAATGAGCGTCCTCATATCTAATTTTCAGATACTAATTCAGAAAGTTCAGGGTTGCATGCAATTTCAGAGCTGATGTAGTTTCTGTGTACATATTCTACATTATAAATATCAGTAGAACCAGCAATTCAACTAACGCTTTCTGGGTTGATAGTTCTTTATTGCAACATGTTCTAAAGAACAGATACTTACGAGAAAACTGTTTGTTCCTATATTTTTTCCCAAGAAGGATATTAAACTGTATTTTGGGCTGTTATAGATCTTGCAATGAAAGTTAATGAATTTAAACTCTATTATCCCAGGGATGTACATTAAATTCACTAGCAGGGCTACAAAATTGGACTTGAGATCCCGTTTTAATGTAACACCACAATCTCAGTGAAGCATTTGAATCTAGCATCCTCTGTCAGAGAGAATGTCAGCAAACCAGAGCTTATTTTCTGCTGTTGCAATGACAACCTCTGTAAAGATTTTTGGTGAGTGTCTTCATAGTATGCCCTGTACACATGAGCTTTTGTTAACAGATACACTGTTACGTAGTCACACATTTCAATCCAGAATGATTGAAAATGATTGGTCAAAGCAGGACGGAGTTCTTGCTGGGGAAAATATGTCTGTGAAATGAGCATGCATTTAGACAGGCCAGCGGCACCTGCAGAGAGGCCAGCCAGTCCTGTCCACTGCTTCAGTACCATCTAACTGCACAGAGGAGGAGACTATCTTTATTGTTCTCTTTCCAGGGAGGGGAACTTCTAACCACACAAGACTGAACCAATTCATTCTAGAAGGCCATTTTTAAAACATTATCTTTAATTACAAAATGGGTTAAGTATTCAGTTATATAATGATGGAGTTTCTTTTTCTTTTAATTTGGCCATTTTATTTTATTTCCTTTCATTTCATTTTATTTATAAAAATATTTCATTTTATTTTCCTGTTGGCCACATATTTTTATCTCAAACAGGAAGAGAAATCATCTTCCAATTACAAGACACCTCACAAAGTTAACAGAGAAAACTTTGAAAAGATTTCACTATCCTAGTTAAGCTAAAACAAAAATATAGATTATATTATAGTTAGAAATTACTGAGAAATGTTCAGAATCCATACAGGAGAAAAATGGTGAAATCTTCCAGTAGAGACTAAATAGTATAGGTACCTCAGTTTCTCCCCTCATTTTTTTTTTTTAAGACAGAGTCTCACTATGTCACCCTGGTAGAGTGCCATGGTGTCACAGGTGACAGCAATCTCATATAAAAGTTTTGCCTTAAGCTTGGGCTTAAGCAAGTCTCATGCCTCTGCCTCCCAAGTAGCTGGGACTACAGATGCCCAGCTATTTTTTGTTGCAGTTGCCACTGTTGTTTTAGCTGGCCGGGGCCAGGTGTGAACCCGCCAGCTCTGGTGTATGTGGCTGGCGCCCTAGCCACTGAGCAAAAGGCGCCAAGCCTCTCCCTGGAGTTTAAGATTTAGCTGAATTTCTAATGCAATACCAATGTTTTAATTATATTGTCCTGAAGTAGGCATTTGTCAAAGTTATTTTAAAAGTTTTTTAAAGGGGGAAGGAATAACCATTAAAGGCTCCCAGAAATGTCTTAATAAATACAGAAACACGGTCACGGTGCAAACCATCAGGTGTGATAGGTCAGGATGATTACAACAGCGTTGTGTGGATCTAGGAATTAATGGATGAATCCAATAAAAAGGAAAACTAGTTAAAAAACAGCATTGATTTGGTTGCCACCTTTGGGAATGGGTTAATTTTGTTCTTTGTGTGAGGATAACTAAGCAAAAGCCACTGGGAAACGGTGTACAGAAATGATGTGAGCTGCTTCCATAGTTGCTCTTCCAAACATCCCCGCCGCCGGCCCTTGTTGATGTGGAAGCTGCATGCTGCAGATGATGGGAGTTCTTGCAGGCCTCTGAGCCCCTCCTTGGGAGAAAACACCATCAGCAAGCTGCCTAACCAATGCCAGCCTGTGGTATAACCAAAACAATACATGTCTGTTACATTTTTTAACAGGCAGAGAAAAATGATAGACTTGGGTATTTTTGCATTTGACAATTTTGCCTCATTTAACCTTTTACAGTAATGAACCATTAATTTGTATTTTAATTTAAAATAATAATTAAAAGAAGCTTTACTATAGTTTGAAAAATGAAAATCAAGTAGTTAGAAATGAATAAGAACATCACGGGTGGGGAAAATAGTTCAAACAAGAAAATGATGATTCCGAAGGAAAAGGGCCTGTAGGATTGACCTTTTTTGCTCTTCTTTATTAGGTTTTCCAGGGCAATTTTGACAATGACACCCACAGGAAAAACGTCATTGACCCTCCCATCTATGCACGGCACATAAGAATCCTGCCTTGGTCCTGGTACGGGCGAATCACGCTGCGGTCGGAGCTGCTGGGCTGCACAGAGGAGGAATGAGAAGCCCCGTACGCCACAGCCCTCTTCTCTACTTCCCTGAAAGTATTTCCATGGAATGAACTGTGCAAAATCTGTAGGAAACCGAATGAGGTTTTTTCATGAAGAAGTGCTTAAATTATGGTAGGCCACTGTCTTTTCAAGGAGGTCTAAGCCTGCCTTTTCAATGATTTCATTTGATTTTTATTGGTCCAGTCTCTTAAAGACCATATCATCTGTGAGTTACTTTTCTTATTATTTTCTGAGTTATTCATATTAGTTGCAATATATTGGGGAAAGAAAGTAGCCTTCTTTATATAGTAAGGGTAAATAAAAAAGTCTCAACGTCATCAAATACTTGCAAGAGTTGGTAGAGCTTTTATAATCGGTAGTCAGCTGATTCTTGTAAAAGGAATCCGCAGTGTTTGTTAGCAATAAGGGTTTTTTCTTCTGTAATAAGTCTACATTATCCTATCTGTTTCCCTGTGCCTATAAAACATGTCAGTGTTTATAACAGAAATTTGAAGAAGAATCTGTAACATGAAGTACTAATTGTTCTAATTCTCATTTTACTTTCATTATTTTTAATAAGGGATTATATGCCCTTTTTTCTTTTGCTCTATTCTGCGTTCTTTATATTGCATATTGCCTGAATAAGTCAGTATTTTTCTTAATTGAATTTTCTCCTACTACTCGCCTAAACATCATGTTTATTTATATACCTGGAACATGATTATCAGTAGTTTGATCTCCATGTAATATCAGTAGATTAAATATGCAATTTCATTTCTGAAGGAAGTTTTAACTACAGAATTTCCAAATACTTTATTTATAAAGAATCCCATGCACCAGTTTGCAAAAAAGGAAGAACAATAAAAAAGTATTATGTCCCTTTAAATTTAAATCTTCATTTACATAGCCTTATATTTACCTTAAAACAATAGAATCATGAATTCTTTGTCTATTTTTAAAAAGATTTTAGCAAACAAATATTGACCTAGTTCTCATAACTCGGTCAAACACACTCATCATTTCTTTTTTCATCTCCACATTTCCTATGAAACTAAAATTTCATTGAGATTTGAAATTGGTGGTGGTTTCCCAGGAAAGCACCTCATGTGGTTAGTTATTTGTGAAAAGCAAAAGTATTTGCTAATGACAAAGTAGTAAACCATTTTCAAGATGAAAATTGATTTCTCTTCATTTTGCTTCAAGGGTCCTGAGAAAATAAGCAACTATCATCACCATTTGTTATTCATAATGGAGGCTGCATTGACATGTCTCAAATTAAAGCTCACACTGCCTCCATAAATGTCTTCAACATCTAATTTACAAGCTTTACAAGTATTTGTTTTATAAGGCTTAGACAGGATTATTGGAGGTTTAAATTAAGGGTCTTGGAAAAGAAAGGATGGTATGTGTACGAAATGTTCAAGTCCCACGCAACGCTGCTGAGTTGTTTCTTTCCTTTAATATTTGTGCTGCATAACAAAAGCCACTAGACTGTTACTGTCTCGTCTGTCCATGTGTTAACAGCATTCCTCAATGATGTATATACGGAGTGGTCGTTAATCACCGTGAAGAATTTAAAGAGAAAGTCAATCACATTGGCATTTTTAATAAGAGCAACATTAGTTGGTCTAATAAGGAAACCATTGGACACGTGTCAGTTCCATGCCCATATGATTTCTATATGTGGTTCTCATCATGAAATTATCGACTGAAGCCGCAGAAATAGTCAGTTTTCAATGTCTTTCACAAACAAAATTTCTATCTCCCCAGTATTGCCATTTTTAGATACATGTGGAGCAAGGAATTTAAAATATTTTGGTCAGTTAAATTTTAAAGCCCTGTGATAAATAATTGCTTAAGTTCAAAAATATACACGCCTATCACCCAGCCAGTTGTCCTCATTTCTTCCCAGGTTTACTGCCCCACCTGATTCCTCGCTGCTTTGCTTTGCAGATTATGCAGGATTCTTTATTCTTACGAGTAGACTTCTTAAATTATGAGGAAGGCTTTGTAGTGATTTACTTTTTAAAATTTATTCATGGCTTTATAGGATGTTTTCAATTTTTTTCTACTGACAGCTGTTTAAAAAGTATTTTCCAAAGGATTTGGTTAATATTATACCTTTTACCTTTTAAAACAATACTGAAATAGTTTTCTCTTGCTTTTGCGTTTTTTCTCTGCTTTTCATGCTCTTCACAAGACATCATTTGTCCCATGACGCCCAAAACTGATCACAGCAAAAGATTCCCACAGTGTGAGTGTTGATAATCATTATCGAGCAGTAAAGTAGCTCCAGGGTCAGTTGTATCAATGACAGGCAAGGGAAGCAAATGGATTCTCTATAAATTCACTAACACAAAATGTCATAAGCAGAATGCACAAAATAATAACCTAGTCTTCAGTATATCAAGTAACTATACCATGCTTATTTTATAATTTATGAAATTAAAATTTTAAACATCTCCTTTTTATCTACATCTTTTTAAAAGCATTTACTATAGTCACTAAATTCTAATTTTAGGGTTGACTTTCTCTTTCTAAATGACTTCATAAAGATTGGTGTGAATTTTGAAGATTTGGGGTACTAATGATTATATCTTTGCTAGTCAACAAATTATGAAATATAATACTCAATTCTGGCATCTGACGTGTCAGTCAATACAGAAATAACTTAAGACACAAATAACTTTTGCAAACTTTGAAGCTGTGTAATGTCCCAATGTTGTTTTTTCTTTGTATATATACTTATCTCACGTAGGATGTTGTAAAACCAGTATGACCTTGTCTAGTCTTCAAACTTAAAATAAACTTTTGAAAATCTGGGATAATTTGAAGCAGTTGTAATTAAACACATTTGTAAGGATACACAAATTGTCTGAATGTGAATGCCCACTACTCTCAACCACACGCTTGGTTTATTTTCTCTTTCTACAGGGCTAGTAAACAAGAAAAATCAAAAGTGCAGTAGCCTCCAAATATTTATTGACATTGGCTAAATTGGTCATTCCAAGATTATTATAATGTGTGCCTTCTTCCTATTCCTTCTAGTTGTGGAGATTTTGTTAGAATGTTGATAATCCAAAGACCTTTTTTGCCTCTTGTATGAGGTGTTGTGTCCGAGGACTGACCTGCTCATTGTTAAGCTATTTTTTATCTCAGGTCGTGGTGCTCGGGAGCATAAGGAAGAGTTACAGGCTTAGTAAGAAATAGCACAGCATTAGTCATGTAACTATCCGTGTACCTCGGCTACTGATGGAAATCACAGCCCTTGAGTTCTTCATGAATCTTCTTTCTGGCTCTCCAGAAGGCTCTGGTGAAATTCAAATCCCACTTTTTGGCATTTTCTTAGACTTCAAGAAATTTAAGGAAAAATTAAGATAGTGGAGGTTTACTTCTACGCTGGATCTTGGCCAAAAGGCTGAGACTTGATGTGAAGGTTCCACAGATCTCCGATAGCTCTCAGGACTCACTTGTTATATGTTTGCATATTCACACACGTTCCTACTTAACGGCATTTTGATGTGAGTGGATCAGTGGAGTCCTATTGTTTGCCTAAGTTTTTCACACACACAAACATACACAAATGTGCATGCAAGTAAACGTCATTATACATATATATTTTCAACACAGCTAAAAAGGAATCATGACGATATTACAGGGCAAAATATATTATGACAGCAGAATAACTGTTCAACAGAAAAATTTCAACTGTGAGGCTTTTAAAGCTGCTGATTTAAAATGTAAAAATAATAGATGCATTTGAAATGCCAAGAAGAAAAGGCTTTAACCAGGTTAAAATGGTTAAAATTTGTTTTTTTAAAAAATATTAATAATAAATTCATGGATGGAAAATGTTCTATTTATGTAAGGTACAATTTACATTTTTTACAAATTCAGCTTTAAACGCATGACTTTCAGATATTTATAAACATTATGTTTTACTGTCAGAAATCAGAGCCCTCTACCTCTGCTCTCAATTGAGTATATTGTTTTTGGTGAAAAATACTGATCTAGATGAAAAAGAACTTTTCTGAACAAGTAAAATAGAGAAGTAAACTACTCTGCTGATTGAGAAATGTCCCTACCACCCGGATACAGAATGCATTGTCTTTTGTCTTTGCAGAGACAAAGAATACCTAGCCAGTGTAAGTAGCAATTTTTTCTATCAATTTTGAGGAAGGAATAGAATTTCTTGATTTCAGTAAATGTTTATAATTCATATGGGATGTTCCAACATTGCCACCAAATAAAGTGTCTTCCATAGTAGGCCTGTGGCACTTACTCAGAGAGTTATTTCTGTTAAAAGAGTTGGGTACCAGAAATGAAAAACATTTTTGGAAACGGCTCCTCGTTTAGCTGGGGGATTTTTTGTGGGTTTTTTTTTTTTTTTTTTTTTTTTTTTGCATAACTTGGCAGAAGTTGATTGAGTCATTTGAAAACACTAATGCTTTGGAAATATGGTGTAGTACATCAGCAAGTGGCCACAACAATCCATGATTAAGCGTTGCATATGGTGACTGCCTCTGATTGAATTTCATTTTAACATCCTCAAAGGTATGAACCACACTCTTCCATATGTATGTAAAACCCCCATCGTGCCCTTCATATGCCCACACACCAGATGTTTCTAATGATGATAAACTGCAAGGTAAGCTCAACCTGCTGCCACCTGTAAGGAAGTGTTGGCAGTGAGACTGATGGTGGCTTGAAACAATACATCTCCCAGGGCCGATATGGAAATGGCTTGGTGATAACTTGTGTGAGAATCAGGCTAAGGCACTGCTGAGAATTAACAGGAAAACAGCTAGAAGCAGACTGCGGGCATATGACAGAGATAAGGAGTGTTTTCCATACTGAATGCCTTACATGCACAGATGACCCACGTTTATAATTTTTCTGCTTTTTAGTGATTATATAGCAGAGATTTAAATAAGATAATAGCAAAAAAGGCTTTGCCTTTCAAGAAGAGAAACTTAGCAGGCAGGTGACTCTGTGGAATGAATAGCACACTGCTCCCCTAGGCAAGTGGCATGTTGTGCCTGGCTCCAAAGAGGAGTTGAGCAAAAAAGTTAAAAAATGGCAAATCATAGTGGAAGCACTAAATAATCGACCTTAAGCAGCTTTATACCCTTGGTTCTCACATTTCTTGGGTAACAGTATAGAAAAATACTTTTTTAAAAGCAGGAGCATCTCTTTAAAAAACAAAAAGAAACAAAACCCAAACCCTTAGTGGTGTAAGTACCTTGATAAAACGTTTGCTATGTAGACTGAGATGCCAGGAGCTGAGTTTAAGCAACAGTAAAATTGTGTGTTTCAAACTGCTAGTGGAGAAAAATTGGTGAGTCAAAACTATTACCTTTTTTTTTTTAATTAAATACATTAAAGCAAGAGATGAGAGGATAAGGGAGGGAAGGGAGAGAAGGAAGAGCCCGTTATAGAAATTATTTTAAAAACCATTTTATTTCAGTTATATTACTGAGTATGTGTTTTTGATCAGGGTGTAAATTATGTTTCTCACTCTAAGGCACAGCCTTACAAGTTTGAATCAAACACACGATCTCTGAACTGCTTTCTAAATGGGTGGTGTCTTGGTAGCTACTGGGCAGCCTATTCAAGCTTAGAGCCAGAATTGGATGGATCCCATCAATACGAGGCTGTTAGAGGCTTGGTAGTGGGAGAGAAGTGTGTCTGAATGGCTTTCGAAGAGAAATATATATATATACACAATATAGATTAAAATGAAAAAGATATTAAAAGCAGAATTTTGTGATGTTTTTTCCAATGTCGTGGTAAAATCCTTTGCCTTTCTCCCCATAAAACATCCTAACACATACCAGTTTCTCCCC